TTATTTTATTCGATTTATTTTTTATTTATAGAAATTGAATATACATCCAAACTAGAAATTTGATAAAGACATACTTAACATTAGATGCGTGGCGACAGATCAGCTATTAAAGATTCGGAAGATTCGACCGATAAAGAGATTTCTTCAGAGTTACACATTGCATTTAAACATTAGATAGGCTATTGCCTAACTAGTAACTACGTAAATGGTTCACGGACAATTTCTCGCGCGTTTCTAATCCGAGAAAAAAGACACATCCACACAAAACCCCAGCCGGAAAGGTTATAGCAATTAGGTCGTCAAAGTAGACGACCGATGCTAGTTACGCTCGATGCTGCTCGATAGCCGAAACCGTTGACGAATTAGGAAACAATCTTTCTTTACTTATTCACTTTTATAAATAACTTTAAAATAAGTCAATTTAATGAAATACATGCGTTTCTAGCAAAACTTACGATTTCAATTTTAATATTCATGAAATCTTATTGTTGGTTGATTAAATTTTTTAATAATTCTATAATGTTTTTTAATTTCGATACTATGTTATAACGCAAAATACGTTTTAATAACATTTTTTTAAAAAAAATATAAAACATAATAAATGTGAGAAGTATAATGCGAATATAAAAATTCTACCAAGTTTTCAACCTTATAAGTCGTAAAAGAATAATATACAAGTCTCAAAATCCATTTTGTCTCGTATCCATTTTATCTCGTAACCGAGCTAGATTTAGAAAAAAGAGCAAGGGTTCACATCTAATGGGTCAAATTTCTCACAAGGCCAAAACCCATCGTTAAGATCGGTGATGCCGGTCACTGTAAATTTAATTAAGATCAACTCAAGGAAGAGATTTAAGACTGTCGAAGGTTGCGAAGTTAACGGCAAGAAAAAAAGATAATCGTATGCACCAGAAGAAGATTGAGGAGATGCGCTATCTCGATAAGATATGAGACCCGTCATCACGCCTACCCTCTCCTGAATGAGCCAAAAAAAAAAGAGAAGGAAATACAGAGCGAGACAAAGAGAAAGACAGAAGGAGAGAGACTAACCTATTCTTTAGTGCCTCTCACGTTAGGCGCGATTAACAGTACTTCACGTAAGGCAATAACTTTCCGGACACGCTTCGACGGAAGACTTTGTCGCCGGAACCCCGGTGGCGAGTCCCTCGTAAACTGACAATTACACCCGAAGCCCGAGGTGTACCGACCGCCGAGTCACAAATGAAATAACTACGAGCGACTAATAACGCCGCACAATCTCTCTCCCTCCCCGTTAGCCCGACGGCTACGAGGAAATGTTACTCGGGTTGCATCGCCGCGAGTAAACCGAATTAAGAACGTGCGACCGCAAATTAAGACGCGCCCCGCGCGTGTACGCGCATACACATGGGCACGCGAGGTTTTTGCCATGGACCACCCCTGCGACAAATAAACATTTCTCCTCGCCGAAGGCGAGGCCGGAATTTTTGTATGCTTATTAGCGCATATGCTATGTTTATTATTTCGCTCATGTCCACTTGACTGCGTTGTAAATTTCGATCGGAAAACGTTAATCGTAAGGTTTAAAGCTGAAGTTACGTAATAGCTGCGCCTTTATATTGTCGTTTTATTTTATATTTTTGAAATATAAAACATCATTTTTACTCGTCTCCTATAGCTATTCTATAAAATAAAATATAATATTTCAGCACGATATTGATATCCAGAGATACAGTGAATGATAAAAAAGATCTAACGTTACTTCTATCGGCATATCACTCGTCCCGTATCGTCTGCTTAAACAAACGTCTGCTTAAAGCAACGAGCATAAAAGAGTAACAGTTACATTCTCCCATAAAGATTTTACGGCTATACTTCTGATTCTCAAGCTTTTAAATACATCCTGCGAGAGGTTTTAATACATTCGCTCTATCGCGATAAACTCGCGTTGAAAACTGCGCCTGCATAATCATCGCGCTCTTATCGCTCTCGTGGGTCATTCCGACAAAT